TTTAAATGTTTTTCTTCATTTGCCAAAAACTATGAGTTTGAGTATTTTAGAAAATAAATGACATTTAGGAATAATTACTTCCTGACTATGTATTTATTTTATGTGAAGAAAGAAATGAAAAACAAGCTTACAGTAAATGTTGCACGCAACACGTGTCCCCTGCCGTAAATTACTGTATTTACCTGTGTGAATTTGTTTACATAAGGTAATTAAATGTGTTAGGGTCTCGCTCATTGTGGTTTCCCAATTATCAATGGATCAAACCACATCAACTGTCATCGCTGTAACCAGTAATTAATTAATCTTTCTGTAGAAATCTTTTTTTTTTTAATATGACCCCAAAAAAGTACCTGCACATTATACCTGAGTGCAAATTTTATCCCACCTCCTTTTAAAAATACATGGAGTCCTTGGCATGACCAGCATAAACTATGTTTGCTCCCTGTTTGCAACGCGAAGCGGACAGAAGAGTGTAGATTGCACATTGTGTCTGCACATATTTGAATTACCTCCCTTTACCCATAGTTGTGACTAAAGCCCGGTACCGACGAATCATGCAAGGTAATGACGTTATTTATCAATGCTTTTACTTGGGGCAAAAGAAACATTTGAAATTGCGGAAAATGTAAGATTCAAGGACTTTTCCAAACATTGTTTCTTAATTCAACAAGTTTAAAGGCCAAAATTAGTTTTCAAGGACTTTTCCACCCCCCACTGTAAATTACAATTAATTGTAATTACTTAGAAATGTGTTATTGGATTGATGATAAACTGTATTCTCTGAGTTTTATTTCTTATCATACAGATCAATTTTACTCTGACAATCAGTTCAATCAATCAATACACATCATTTCAATAAAAGTTCTAAAAACTTTGGTAAAATTACACAAAATTTGGTTCAGTAACAATATTCATATATATTGGCCTGACAATTGCCAACTCACATGTACCATCCATATAAAGCGGGATAACTCGAATAACAAAAGTTGAGACTCCGTCAACATACAATACACCATTCTGTCGATCTAAGTGCATCAGGATATAATTACTGTGCAACAATGCAACACTATGTTAATATGTATCATTACCATGAAAATGGGGAATATACGAACATACTACAATGGAATTCCAACAACTCCTGACAACTATCGTTAAGATTCACTAACCCGCGAACATGGTGCGAACTATGTGGTCAGGCGATCAAACACCTCGCTTCAATTATTCGTAAAATTACTCAAATGTTGGATTTCCTGAACACTTACCCTTAGCAATTATGGTCCCGGTTACTTACCACACCATTTAGTCACATGAAATCACATTTAAACAACATTCTCTAGTACTTACCTCCAAAACAAGGAAGAGTCAGGTTTTAGTTGACTGTCATTTTAATGGCGCCGCAGCAGAACATCCGGGAACCTGTGATGATTTTATTCAGTTAGAGTTATCTCCCTTTATGTAACCTACCTAATTAATGTAATTAACGATGATTTACTAATGTGTAAATGAAACTAGTGTTTTCTATATGTAATCATACTTTATAAGTGAATAAATGTATATGTCTTACGTATTTTGGGTTATGAGATAGTTTTTGGCACTTTAATCTGCAAAATAATGGAACCCCCAGAACGTTACACCAAATTTTATATAAAGGCTAATTGAAACCAGTACTGAAAACGGGAAGTATTTTTTTATCACTGAGTAATTCTAATTCCCGGTCTGTGGTTACCTTATCAAGTGCTTGACAGGAGTATGTTGATCTATTTTGTACTAGGCTTAGTATTGAGAAAGATATATTGAGAGTTAAGTATGATGATAGAATAGTTGAATTTAACTTTGTAAATACACGTTAGAACTGAAAGTGCATTTTTGTTATTAAGAAATAAGAAGTCTATTTTAGTGAGAAGGAATAGAAGTCTGGAATATATGAATGTTAGTTTTTCCTTATTTTATCTAAGGATGTAAATGTTTTGGAAGTGTGTAGAGACCAGACCTAGAATGGATGTGTATTTTCCTAACTTGCGTATGTTAAGATTTTGTCTGTTTTAATGTAAGCTTTAGGCCTTCTGAGTAATGTGTTAATTTTATGCCAGGAAAGCTAATATAATAGTAATAATATGAAGTTGTAGAAATTAACTACTAAGTGTGGAAGATTGTGTGAGTCTGATAGAATTATTAATGTAACTTATTTTCTTCACGTATGAGATTCATTGCCTAATTAAATATTGAACTTTATCACAATCTTCTGGTTTTCTTTACAACTGAGCTATATATCTAGAAACATGACTTGTTCAAATAACCATAGGATAGCCTGATGCTATTGGAACATTCTTCATAAGTGATTACTTCGTTATCTGATTATACTGAATTGGATGACAACAAAAGGTCAAGTCCAGGTCCAAGTAATGTCATGATCTGTGTGAATTAAAAGGAATAATAGATGGAGTACTTGGAAGCTACGGAGATGAAACGTCACTTAGTCCTGAATGCAGATGGAATGAACATAAAATCCTGATGAAGACTTTAATCGTTAATTATCTAATTATTTATCGGGTTTAGCCCTATTGAATAGATCTGAGATTGGGTCCAGATCACTACGGTGTCATGATATGAAAGATACAAAAGTTGCGTAACAACAATTAATTTTGTTATTTGTAATTAACATTTTGCACTGTACGTATGATCAATGGCGAAACATGCATTCTCCCCCGCTATCGCCGACATGCCAAATAATAACAAATATGATATGAAACATTTTTATCTATCTATTTATTTATTTATTTATTTATTTATTTATTTATTTATTTATTGTAGTTGTTGTTTGTTGTTGTTGTTGTTGTTTCAAAGCAGAAACTTAATTAATTTATATAGTGTGTCATATTTTTTGGTTTCATGGATTCCATATAAATAAGGATTTTTTTTTTATATAAAGCATTTGTTACTATTAAAGAACATCATATTTTCCCAATAATAGCTACATGTTATACTTCTAATTCTTTATTTTGTCGGTATTCATCTGTTCATGAACAATAATGAACAATATAAAAAATTGACTTTACGCCATAAGCAGATTGTCCATTGCCAGGTAAATATCGACTTGGGTTGGTTTTATCTACCAATGACAAATTTTACAGTCCTGAAGGTTGGGAATTAACTTGTTTGCTCACCATTAGACATTTATCATGTATATTCCATCACCATGACAGCAGATACTAGATGGTAGTATTAATAAAAAATCTTATTTGATTTCATTTTTGCGTCTAAAGTGAAAATAAAGAAATTCCATTTTGATGAATGAGAACCTCAATATTTGTGTAAGACAACTTCTTTTCTATAGGCTTGATATGATGAATTTGCTTCCAATATTGTTATAAGTGTGAATGAACTATCATTACTCACCTCAATCTGTTGGTTGCTAGCAACACATTCGTCAGATTTATGGGTTTGCCTGATTGAGAAGACACACATTTGACATCTGTATACAAGGTGTAAAAATACTACAGACGAATTGACTAAGCACTGTTTATATCTTTTTCACTATTCACACATTCACACAACTTGCTAATGTAATAGCGGTAGTAGCCACCTATGTTCTATTGTTATGCATTTATGTTTTTATATCCTGGGATCGAAGGATCAGGGGCGTATTGTTTTTGTGCTGCCTTATGGCTGTTGTCAACTTTAACCTTGTCAATAACGATTGCGATATATGAGGTAGGGCTTTCATTTTTGACATGTATGTTCCTTATGACAAGACATTTCCGGTTGTACGAACTTTTTTTACCGTGTGACCTTGACCATGATCAGTGACCTACATTTGAAAGAACTTAACATTGGCTATCACTATTGCCCCGTAAGGACTTTCATATCTGGCGCGTGTTCCTTGTGACAAGACTTTCCGATGGTACGACTTTTTTTCCCCATGTGACCTTGACCATGGCCTTTGTCCTACATTTTAAACAAAATGAACATTGGTCACTGTTGTACTGTAAGAGGTAGGGCTTTCATATTTGGCGTGTGTGTTCTTTGTGACAAGACCTTTCCGATGGTACCTTTGACCTACATTAGAAAATAAAAAGGCATTACCACAATGAAGACACAAGCGTTTCACAAAGTGTATATGCAATTAGCACATGCCCCTGGGTGATCAAACGGATGTCATTTAAATCCTTTTTATCGATATAGATTTCATGATGCATTTCTCATGTTTCGAAACTATGTTCTGTCAAATTTATTGAGATGAATCCATAATTAGCCCGCAAATGGATAGAAAGATAATAAACAATAAATAAATGATAAAAGTTACAAGGAGAAAATATTAATGACTGTATCAATTTATTAAAAAATAGAACAACTGATATAAGGGGAACATAAATATAGGTAGCTTAGCTGGGTTTGGAACAGAAAAGTGTAAACTACAACTCTTTAAAAAATCATTTACCATCATATCTCTTTATTGATTTATTTTGCGTTTATTTTAGATGTTGGATTCGGTGCGTTTTGCGATTCCATAGCAATAGAAACAATTATCGACTTTATCTTTCATTGATATTAGTAGAAACGTAAACGATTGATATATATTTTGTATTTCGCTTTATAATTGTTTATAGATATGGTTTATAATATTATTTCCTACGAAACGAAATAGTCAAATCAGCTATGAAACCTTATATGTATACTACTTATCACGTTGTTTCTCAGAAACCCTAACAGCTGGAATTGATGTACATTGTGACTTTAGATCCACGTTAGCTATTTACAGTGTTTACAAATAATTGCCAGTTTCGCAATTGAAACATTTTCCACCTCTCGTAGCCAGCATTACTTCATTATTTGCACAAAGATGTGAATTGATAAAAAGCTATATCTACTGATAAATTATGTCCAGACAGTGATATCCTTTCACCAACAACGTGCAAAGTGCGAAAACACGTAATTTTTACAACGATGCACTCGACATCATAAGAACACATTTAACAGATGAAATATGTCAAATTATCACCCTAAGAATCGTCTTGTGATTGCAGAAAAAGAAATACTGCAGCGATGTCTTTTACAAGCAAAATCATCGAAAACAACACGAATAAAAAAATGTCCATGAACTCTGCAACATGTTTCCATGTAATGTATGTAAATGGTTCATTACATGAAGCAGATAGAACCTTCCTTTTATCAGTGTCAGGATTATCTTGCATCTCATATGTAAAGTTTTCTTGGCTTGGCAGCGACACCGCAGATTTATTCAAACAGACGTGTTTGAAATCCTCCTGAGAAGAGTCATTTATACTTTCTGGACGCTTATCAGGTACCGAGTCTTTATTTATATATAGATGCGTCTTTCGAAGGCAACGATGACACGAGACTAGACGTTTTAACCATTTCGGGACCCTCTGAGTGTCTGGTTTGTGATAGAAACGCAATCCAAGAATGGCACACACCGTTACGAAGACATTCGCGCCTAGATCTATGGTGAGAAAATAACACAGTAACGGGATATTTGGTTGACTCGTACTAGGTAAACTTTCTGTCACAATACTCATAAAAACAGCCATTGCTAACAATACAGTGATGGAGAAGCTGATACGTTCTCCGGAATCTGCAGGTAGCAGAAATACCAAAACATTCAAAAGGCCTATAACACTGATAGGTACCAACGTGTTTAGAACGTGAAATGTCGATCGCCGTCTTAGCTTCAGGATTAAACGAATTATTGGTTCGACTTTCCGACAACGTATTTCCGTGTCTTTTACCTCCCACAATCCATTTGGGGAGAAATAAGCAAGGTCGAACTCTTTACTTTTACTTTCGAAATGTAGTTCCGACACTAGATACATTGACGAAGAGAAGATTATTTCACAAGTTTGGACATCGAAGGGATAAAATGTTACGTCGATTGCACAACTAGACTGATAAACATTTGCAGGGACCCATTGTATATCTCCATTAAAAGCGACACGAACAAGTTGTCGGTCAAAACCAAGCGGTTCAATATCATCATATGGATTCATTTGTATAACGTCTGGTTTCCAAATGGACGTTTGAGAGAGAAGCGTTGTATGACTGTATCCATATTCCGTGATGTTCCATTTGAGTTGAAAGTCATTCCATGAGAATGTGAAAACACCAACTATAGCTAATTTGTTGGTCATTTCATCTAGTTCCTTTATGGAAAGAAGGCTAAAATTGACATGAACTATTGTTGGTTCTGACTGATTAAAAGATGGCCGCACAAATTTGTTGTAATGTTTTGTCAAGTCCTCGTGGAGTTTTAGCATATCTTTGTGGGTGGATGCGTTGCCAGTTCCTAGCATGAGAAACATTAGGAACACGAGCAATGATATAGCTTCTTTCATCTCTGAAACTTGAAATGAACGGAATGTCACTGTAATTCGTTTAAAGTCTACTATGCGTTAAATCGACATTTAGAGTTGTATCTCTGTAACGTTTAACCCTACCCTCGAAAGGAAACGAGATGAACGAGATGATGTTGACAAACGATAATGTGGAATATCTCTATTTACTTACTGTACCTGTCTGTATTGTATTAGCTAAATGTAGAGGTGGTTTTGAAATTTATTGTCAATATATCTTATGGACTTTCTGTGTACATTTAAAACGTTCTACATTACATTCTTCTATGATATTATGGTGTTAATCGATCTTTGGTGGCTTTACAATATTACTGTCATAGTGATTTTAACCTGACGCATTTTTAATATTTACAATTTTATCGTCAGAACTAATCATACGAAGGCCTAAAGGCATTTTTTAAAAATTTTCTAATTAAACAAACAGCCACTGTTTTCCATCTTGCGACGAAAATATTATCTACATAAGACTTTGATAGGTCGGATTTGCGTTTAAGATTTTATCATACTAATCATTTCCCCTCTGGCATTCTTTTGGTCCATTTTGCACGTCAGCAGTACTGCATGTCGCAGTGCAAAATGCTTTCAATGAACTCTTAGTTAAAGCTCATGATGTACTAAAATAGTGTCCATCAATTTATTGCAGTGTGGCTAATCCTACCCACAATCCATCAGGGTAGAAATAAGTTAGATTCGTCTTTGTACTTCCTTAATTCCTTCATGAAAAAAAAACCGACTGTAACTGATATCAACGTTGGTCTTATGTTCTTGTCGTAATGTTCCTTTCAAATTCTCATGAAGTTTGATCAAGTCTGTTTGTGTGAAGGTGTGTACAATTCCTAATGATAGAGAAGTGAATAAAACTAACCATTGTTGTCTGCTTCGCTGTGAAATTATTAATAAGGAGTACAAGCCTTCCAGAATACGTCAACTGCCATTTTATTCTCACCAAAAACTAACAGAGAAAAAAAACAAATTGAACGTATTTCCGGAATTAAGTACAAACTAAAACGAAAAATAAAACCAACTGAAAATATCCGGAATAGAGTTATCTCCCCCTAGACAATAAATATTATATTTGGTAGATATCTCACTGACCAGTATATCATAATATATAACACCGTAGCATAACTTCTTTCATCTCTAACATCTTGAACAGAACTGATTGTCTCGTGTCATTCTTTCACTACTTCTTATGAAAAAATAAAAACATTATTACCGATTTCTATTTAAATCAAAATTGGTGGACATTGGTCTGACAATTAAACGGACTCTCTGTTTGTAACGTACCAACAATATCCAATTGTATAAAGTCCGTATGTATTGTGCCGTTGCTAGGCGATAATAATGATATTTATGTATACAAATAATTAGTTTTCGGAATGCTTGACTCTCAGATCATTAGAACCTAATATGTTTATATATCTGTTTGGAAATTCTATACATGGAAACATTAAGGGTGTGCGCCAGGTTGACTTTATCTATCTACAGAGTGTGTGTCATGTTGACTTTATCTATCTACAGATTGTGTGTCATGTTGACTTTATCTATCTACAGAGTGTGTGCCAGGTTGACTTTATCTATCCACAGAGTGTGTACCAGGTTGACGTTATCTATCTACAGAGTGTGTACCAGGTTGACTCTATCTATCTACAGAGTGTGTACCAGGTTGACTTTATCAATCTACAGAGTGTGTGTCATGTTGACTTTATCTATCTACAGAGTGTGTACTAGGTTGACTTTATCTATCTACAGAGTGTGTGTCAGGTTGACTTTATCTATCTACAGAGTGTGTGTCAGGTTGACTTTATCTATCTACAGATTGTGTGTCATGTTGACTTTATCTATCTACAGAGTGTGTGCCAGGTTGACTTTATCTATCTGTGTACCAGGTTGACTTTATCTATCTACAGAGTGTGTACCAGGTTGACTTTATCAATCTACAGAGTGTGTGTCATGTTGACTTTATCTATCTACAGAGTGTGTACTAGGTTGACTTTATCTATCTACAGAGTGTGTGTCAGGTTGACTTTATCTATCTACAGAGTGTGTGTCAGGTTGACTTTATCTATCTACAGAGTATGTGCCAGGTTGACTTTATCTATCTACAGAGTGTGTGTCAGGTTGACTTTATCTATCTACAGAGTGTGTGCCAGGTTGACTTTATCTATCTACAGAGTGTGTGCCAGGTTGACGGTATCTATCTACGGAGTGTGTGTCACATTTAGTTTATCCATCTACAGAGTGTGTGCCACATTGACTTTATCTATCTACAGAGTTGGCGTCAGGTTAACTTTATCTATCTACAGAGTGTGTGCCAGGTTGACTTTATCTATCTACAGAGTGTGTGCCAGGACGACTTTCTCAACAGAGTGTGTGCCACGTTGACTGTATCTATCTACAGAGTGTGTGCCAGGCTGACTTTATCTATCTACAGAGTGTGTGCAAGGTTGACATTTTCAACAATGTGTGTGCCACGTTGACTGTATCTATCTACAGAGTGTGTGTCATGTTGACTTTATCTATCTACAGATTGTGTGTCAGGTTGACTTTATCTATCTACAGAGTGTGTGCCAGGTTGACTTTATCTATCCACAGAGTGTGTACCAGGTTGACGTTATCTATCTACAGAGTGTGTACCAGGTTGACTTTATCAATCTACAGAGTGTGTGTCATGTTGACTTTATCTATCTACAGAGTGTGTACCAGGTTGACTTTATCTATCTACAGAGTGTGTGTCATGTTGACTTTATCTATCTACAGAGTGTGTACCAGGTTGACTTTATCTATCTACAGAGTGTGTGTCAGGTTGACTTTATCTATCTACAAAGTGTGTGCCAGGTTGACTTTATCTATCTACAGAGTGTGTACCAGGTTGACTGTATCTATCTACGGAGTGTGTGTCACATTTAGTTTATCCATCTACAGAGTGTGTGCCACATTGACTTTATCTATCTACAGAGTTGGCGTCAGGTTAACTTTATCTATCTACAGAGTGTGTGTCAGGTTGACTTTATCTATCTACAGAGTGTGTGCCAGGTTGACTTTCTCAACAGAGTGTGTGCCACGTTGACTGTATCTATCTACAGAGTGTGTGCCAGGCTGACTTTATCTATCTACAGAGTGTGTGCCAGGTTGACATTCTCAACAATGTGTGTGCCACGTTGACTTTATCTATCTACAGAGTGTGTGCCAGGTTGACATTCTCAACAATGTGTGTGCCACGTTGACTGTATCTATCTACAGAGTGTGTGTCATGTTGACTTTATCTATCTACAGAGTGTGTGTCAGGTTGACTTTATCTATCTACAGAGTGTGTGCCAGGTTGACTTTATCTATCTACAGAGTGTGTGCCAGGTTGACTTTCTCAACAGAGTGTGTGCCACGTTGACTGTATCTATCTACAGAGCGTGTGTTAGGTTGACTTTATCTATCTACAGAGTGTGTGTCAGGTTGACTTTATCTATCTACAGAGTGTGTGTCATGTTGACTTTATCTACAGAGTATGTACCAGGTTGACTTTATCTATCTACAGAGTGTGTGCCAGGTTGACTTTATCTATCTACAGAGTGTGTGTCAGGTTGACTTTATCTATCCACAGAGTGTGTGTCAGGTTGACTCTATCTATCTACAGAGTATGTGCCAGGTTGACTTCATTTATCTACGGAGTGTGTGTCACATTTAGTTTATCCATCTACAGAGTGTGTGCCACATTGACTTTATCTATCTACAGAGTTGGCGTCAGGTTAACTTTATCTATCTACAGAGTGTGTGTCAGGTTGACTTTATCTATCTGTGTGCAGAGTGTGTGCCAGGTTGACTTTCTCAACAGAGTGTGTGCCACGTTGACTGTATCTATCTACAGAGTGTGTGCCAGGCTGACTTTATCTATCTACAGAGTGTGTGCCAGGTTGACATTCTCAACAATGTGTGTGCCACGTTGACTTTATCTATCTACAGAGTGTGTGCCAGGTTGACATTCTCAACAATGTGTGTGCCACGTTGACTGTATCTATCTACAGAGTGTGTGTCAGGTTGACTTTATCTATCTATAGAGTGTGTGCGAGGTTGTCTTTATCTATCTACAGAGTGTGTGCCAGGTTGACTTTATCTATCTACAGAGTGTGTGTCAGGTTGACTTTATCTATCTACAGAGTGTGTGTCAGGTCAACTTTATCTACAGAGTATGTACCAGGTTGACTTGATCAATCTACAGAGTGTTGCCAGGTTGAATTTATCCATCTACAGAAAGTGAAATCTACCTTTATGTGTGTGTATTTTTTACATAATGATGAATGATGTCCAGCGAAACATATTTTGTTTATTTATTTTGAAAGGGAAACAACAATGGTAAACAACTACATCGGTAAATACCTAGACCGAGCGGATACATAACCTTTATACTGGAACAGCGAGAGGAATATCTACAGTTCATTGTCAGTCTTATACTAAGATATATGACTGTATAAATACAGTGATAGCAAATTCATAGATGTCATGACTGACTGATGGGTAATATCTATTTTAATGATTATTGCATCGTGACATTTTCGATGTTATATCGCAGAAGGAAACAGAATAGTTGCCAATGTCATCATTTTGACGACAATAAAACCCATAATCCCTATTAAATTCTAAATATCTATAAAGTATATTTATGTCTAGTTTAAACAATAGTTATGAAAAAATCCTTGTTGATTTTTTAAAAGCATATTTTGATCTAAATGTCTTTTAAGAAGTTTGGACGCATATACCTGGTTGCAAGCTAGATATATTGGTTAGGAACTGACCGTTGTCAACAACGAAAACTAACAGTAGCAGTGTTAGAATGATATTTATCTAAACATATACCCATCAGTGTCACGTGTTAAGGTAACATCTAGGTCGATCAACGACTTGTTATAATGGGCGTGTCATTATCATTAAACCATCAAGTACCTCGACGGCTTAAACGGATTGTATTAGAACAGACATTCTGGAAAAGT